GAAGACTAATAGTCTGAATTTGTAGTACTAGTGAAAGTAGAATGAGATTCAGTAACTAAGCAGGAAGAAGTGCATATTGGGCTGGTTACAGACAGGTCCAAAGTCCCATCTGTTGTATGAGACTGTTCTTAGGGGTCACAGATACCTGATCTAAATTCTGCAGCTGGTTCTGGAGGTTATAATTTTCATAAGCGTTTGTCCAAAGAGTAATGGAGCTGAAGTATTTGGCTTTTGCTGCCCTTCTGTAGTGTGAATGCTTTCAAAGCAGTAGAATGACCCTAGGTTCTTTCCAAAACCTGAACTGGCAGTACTTGATAATCAATACAACTTTGCAAATACTGTTGAAAGAACATAAGTTTCTGATGGGGAATGTTTTAGGCAAATTTTACTGTATTTCTTAAGTCTGTAATAAGCTGAAGGGTGCATTGCATCATTCCTTTGAGAAGAGGAAAAAAGCCTTGTGCAGTCCTGTAGCATTGCTAGCTTTTGACAGAATGCAAAATTACTTACCCTTTACAGCTGGTCCTGTTTCTGACAATGCCTGGGGTGCGTGTGAACATCTTGCTGAATGTGCTTTTCTGTAGTATTTCCTGAACTTAACTCGCTCTTACCTCCTTGAAATTTCAGGAAGATGTTCGTTGGCGGCCTCAGTTGGGATACAAGCAAAAAAGACTTGAAAGATTACTTCACCAAATTTGGTGAGGTAACCGACTGTACGATAAAGATGGACCCTAACACAGGAAGATCCAGAGGCTTTGGATTTATTCTCTTCAAAGAACCTGGGAGTGTTGAAAAGGTGATTTTTTTTTTTTTTAAGATTCATATTTCAGTTTCTTAACTTGTAGTGAAACTTTTCAGATGAGTTAATCTTGCCCAACTATCTTTCAGGTTCTGGAACAGAAAGAACACAGGCTAGATGGACGATTAATTGACCCCAAGAAGGCCATGGCGATGAAAAAGGATCCAGTGAAGAAAATATTCGTTGGCGGACTTAACCCAGAAGCCACAGAAGAGAAAATCAGGGAATACTTTGGAGAGTTTGGAGAGGTGTGTAACATTATCTTAGTAACCACTGAAAATAGAGTAGTGTCTCACAGAGGTTAGTGAACTAATCATTTGCAAGTTGCAAAGTACCTTAACTGTTCAGATACGTTAAGTCTTTCATAACTGACCAAGAGGTTTCTCATCTTGAAAGCACAGAAGGCAGATATTGCACTGAATGCTTGCACTGCTAGTTAATTCCAGTCTTTGTTAACTCAGTCCATTTAATCTTATGTTAAAATGCTGTAAACTTGAAACCTCTGGTCTGAAAGCTAGGAATACTATCAGAAAGAATATTTAACTTTGGTATTACATAATATGCATAGATATGAAACTTAGTTTTGGTTTTACTGTCCCAAATGTTATGTGCTTTACTGTCTTGCTAAAATACTGAAGTCTGAAGTAATATTTCATGTCTTCAGATTGAAGCAATTGAACTTCCCATGGATCCAAAGACCAACAAAAGGAGGGGTTTTGTGTTCATCACTTTCAAGGAAGAGGATCCAGTGAAGAAGATCTTGGAGAAGAAATTCCATAACGTCAGTGGAAGCAAGGTAGAAACTTTGACTTGTAGATCTTTGACCAAGCTTTTAAGCATAACACCACTACATCTGTAATCTGAGAAGGATTTTGTAGACCTCTGATTTCAAGGTCTTCAAACTGCAGAAGACAGCTTGCTATTTACAGTAGGCTTTTTTTGGCCATAAGGTCGGTTCATAGAACCTGCCAAGGTTCTTAGCCAGTATTTGTGGCTTTGATGCTCTCTATATGTTAGGCCTTTTCATATGTAAAGGATCTAATAGCACTGTGATGAAATACACGTAGGAAGATTGGCTTGTCCGTGTACCAGTATAGCAGTAGAAGCTATTCCAGCAGATGCATGTTGCTTTTCAGTCTAGGGCACTTACATAAATTCAGTGTTTACTGGTGCTAACTTCAGAATGACAGAGTAACCGCATGCTTAGGGCCATTTGTGCCCAGTCTCCTTAGGTGCCTTTGGAAGTGTGGCAAGCAAGACTGTTGTGATTTGAACTACTATAAAAGTGGTGGGAGAGGGTCTGAAGAGCTGATGGTGATCTGGTGGAATAGCTGATAAGTGTACAGCAGTCCATAGGCCATAGAGGCTCAGGTGTCAAGCTAATGAAGAAAGGACTGGAGGCAAAGGATGAGTGCTGGCTGGATGTGTCCCTCTTCCCTTGCTCTGTGGCCAGTGCCAGCCACATAACTGCAACTTCAAAGCCCGTTAGACCTGTTCCTATTGCCTGGCACAGTGACTTGCCCTTAGTTTAAAACTGGTCTTGACACAGCACAGAGTAAACATAGGCCAACTTAATGTGTTGGTAGCTATCATGACACTGCAGTTAGCAATAAAGTTTTGTTTCTGGAAGAGATGAAGGCTCATGTGCAAAGGGAGCTGAGAAATCATATCAGTGTATCTTGCAATTATGGCTTATTTTTGTGTTGTAGCGATTTAGAAAAAAAAAAAGTAGATTACCTGGAACCTTCTGCATGGGGAACTCCAAGCCAAGTTTGTGTAGGTGCTACCATCACAGGGAGTTCTTCTGTTGACAGCAGCAATAGTTTTCCTCTCAGATCATGCACAGATTCAGAATATAAAAGCTGGCTGACCAGTTTGAAATGCAGCTTAGGAATATCTTGGAAATGACAATTCTGGTTGTTTTTCAGTAGTCTTAATATTTGACAGGTGATACTTGGAAGTGTTGGTAAACGCGCTTCACAGTGCGGAACAGATCTGCAATGCACAGGGCATATGAAGGTTGCCAGGAAAACTCATTTTGGCTTACTTAGAGCTCCCGGTAGCTCATCAGGTGAAATGGTCTGAGGGCAACAGCCTAGACTTAAGGTTCCTGCAGGATAAAGACAACCACTCCTGCATGAATAGTAGTGGCTAGGTAGGGTACTACCTCTTCCATGGGGAAGTTGGTGGTAGGGGAACAGGCAACATAAAGTGCTCTGAAAGCAGTGGCCGCCTTGGAGCAGCTAATTGTGACTTACCTTTGCCCAGGCATCCAATAAATCAGATGCTGTTGGATGTGCAGCAGTCTTGGTCACGTGACAGGGAGCACAGCATGTACACCTCCTTTGCCTCTAGAGTAACTTCTCTGGCTTTCCTAGGAGGCTAGGTTGGGCAGTGCTGCTGTAAAACAATATACATACTCTTCCTTGGTTTTTATTTTCAGTGCGAGATTAAGGTAGCACAGCCAAAAGAAGTATACCAGCAGCAACAGTTCAGTAGTGGTGGAGGAAGAGGTAGCTATGGAGGAAGAGGCAGAGGTGGAAGAGGCGGTGGTAAGTACTACACGCACTACTTTAGTATGGACACTTTAAAAATAAGCTGTGTGTACTAAAACGGGATTTTGTGGATGGTTTTCCCTTCTATAGCTCAAAGTCAAAATTGGAATCAAGGTTATGGCAATTACTGGAACCAGGGTTATGGGAATCAAGGATACGGCTATCAGCAAGGTTATGGTGGCTATGGAGGCTATGATTATTCAGGATATGGGTATTATGGATATGGACCAGGCTATGATTACAGTAAGTAAAGAGAACTGTATTGGGTATAAGCAAACATAACTAATTAGCAGTTTAATGCATTTGTTCTCTTGTTCATAGGTCAAGGCAGTGCAAATTATGGGAAGACACCAAGGCGTGGTGGCCATCAGAATAACTACAAGCCATATTGATCAAACTTATTCAGGTATGCAGTGGCATGGTCTCTTTTGGAAAATGACTGCATAGGTTTTGTATACAATGCTGTAGATGGATATTTCAGTTCTGTACCAAATTTAACTTTACAATAAATTTCTATGGCCTGTTAAATGTGCATCTTACTTGGAAGAGCTCCCTGGAAATGTTTTACATGTTTAATACTTACAGATACTAGTTGTCTAGACAGTGTGGTGTGTAAATTTCAGCCTTGCTGAAGATATTAATTAATGATTTTATTAATAGGTTAAACTGAAACTGATTTTGAGGGTCTGCTTAAAGCTGCAGCTCTGCATCTAGGGACTGCCTCTTGGAGTTAACTATGGACTCTGCATTACTCCAGTTGTACAGAATGAGATGCATCTTAGGGAACCAGTGTCACTTTCCACCTTTTTATTTTGTATTGTTTTTGTGTCATACATTTCCTGTAATGGAAGTGTTAATTTTACTGTACTTTTTGGTACCTTTTTGGAATCTAATGTATTGTAAGGTATTTTACATGTGTTCTGATTCACCATGACATGGATATTGAAGCTATCCTAGCTTTTGAAATAAAAAAGGCGTAATCTAGTGTCTTGTGCCATTCTTCAGCTTACGTATTAGTAAAACGCCAGTACTTTGTTCCGAGAACTTAGTTCACAGCAGTACCTTGCTAGATGAAAAGCTGAGCTTAAATGCTCTTAAACTAGAGGGCTGTGTTGATAGTTGTGCTGCCTTGCAGATAAGGGGCAGCTAGAAACTGCAGTCGCTGCTGCCTGGAGGCTACAGAAGAGAACTTGGGTGGAAATCCCCAGCTGTTATGGATGTTGTACTGGAGTGATGTTGGCTCATGTTCTAGACAAGTGCAGTGGCTCAGCATAACTGTATTAGTGTCTGCATTGTATGGTTCATGTAGGTGGAACCAGAGGCAGAGGTTTCAGGTAGGGCTTGGGAGTCGAGACAGTCTTGCAGGAGGAAGCTAAGAGATGTGTAAAGAGCTAGCTGCACTTCCTTCTTGTTTTACTGTTTAAAGTCCGAGGGATTTACACAAGTTCTTAAGTGTTGTACGCCTGTCCTGAAAGACAGGCTAGACAAATAAAATCACCAGTGCAAAGCCTGAGTTTTGCAGCCTTTTTGTATACCAAAAAAGGCTGAAGAACTTCCACTCAAGTTCTGGGAGGGAAAACAACAAAGCTGCTTCTAAAGATGCAGCTCTCTCTGAACATAAGTGACCAGCTAGAAATACGGCCTCCTTTTCTGACTGGTTTTTCACTATTTTTAGGAAATAACTATTATGTAATTTTTCTGTCTTGCTGCAGAATAGTCCCTCCTAGGAGTCTTTCATAAATACTTCCAAGTGCTGCTGCACAAAGTAAACTTCTGATCTTTGCAGTGATCAGTTTGAGTCTATTTCCCTTAAAGCTAAAATATAACAATGTTTTTCTTATAATAAATGCTAGTTGAACATACAGGAATTTCAAGTGGAACTAAACTTAAGAACAGGTGTTATTAACCTTTTCTCAACTTTTTTTTACAAGGGATGCAGCTATTGCTGCAGGAATTAAATTATAACATGCTGCTCCCTACTGGCTGTCCTTTAGAAAAACAAACTTGCTATAAATTTAGAAATACATGAGACTTGTCTATATAGACAGGAGCTTATACTCTTGGGTATAAACAAGATTTAAAATCTGTTTCAGTCTGAGAGTTGACATGACAGCTTTATAGTTGGAGTTACCTGATGTCCAACTTTAAAAAGAAAATGCAAAACTGTAGTCCATTAAAACAAGCGAGTACAGTACGTACTTAAGTCTTCAGCCTTGAGACAGTAATACTTTTAAAATTGTAATGTTTAACTATTGCATCCTGTTACTTGTTCTCTTGTGAGCTAAGAGGTAGCAGAATGTTTTTCTAGCAGGCAGTTTGCCCTCCAAAGGGAAGTCTACTGTTTCACTGTACTGCTGCAGGATTTCTGGCTAGTGTGTTGACAGCAGCTTGTTAGCTGGCTGTTATATTGGTTCTTTTTGGAAGTAAGTCCTCAGGTTAAGGCTTCCTTTACAGATGATACGGCCTTAAGCAGAAACAGAGGCTACTAGCATGTTGTTGCAGAGCTGGCTTTCCCTTTCTTTGTGTGGAAAGTTTGATATCAAGAACATCTAATTACCTGGTGAGGATGGGCTTGTACGTAAGTTTTTCTCATGGCTGTAGTGTGCTCTAATTCACTAATCCTACATGGATATTTCTTGAGGACAGAGGCTTTTCTAAGAACAGGTCTGAGAGCCTTTTGGCCCTCAGCTCTCTGTTCTTCTACGATGTTACGAATCTGAGACTAAGTTTTTGACTTAATCTGCTGTTTGAGATCCCTTGCTGAAGGTGGAGCTACTAGGACCTTATTGGCATGAAACTGGCTTCTGAAACTTGTCAGAGGAGCCAGGGAAGGACTGAGTGCACAGGCAGCTCGAATGTAGTTTGCATAGGCAGCAGCAGATGACAAAAACAGGAGCATCTTTTGGCTTATCTTAATGTTCAAACAGTTGCAACTTGAAATAATATGAATTTGGAAAATGTAGTTCATAACAGCTACTAGAAATATTCCTTCATAACCAGTTTCAGATCGGATGTTAAATAAAACCTAATCCCACATTTCTGCCACAGTTAAAACAAACGATTATAAGATTGATTTCTCCTAAAGCTTTTACTAATAACAAGATAACTGAAAATAACAAAATCAAAGGTAACTTATCTGGTTTAAGACATGCTAGGCTGATGATTAAATGTGCATTATTACAGTAGAAAAATGTTTCTTAGTGGTAGATCTTGAGTATTGCTTGAAACCTATGGAAAGAAAAAATGTTATGTTTTCTTGTAAAAGCATCATTAAAAAGGAATCTACTTCATTGCCTCACTTTCGCTTACATAATATGTAAGTGTCATTTGATAGTACTTTATTCACTGAGAGGCTTTTTGCATTCTTATTTTCTACATGAAATCAAGGCATTTTTCTTGCTTAGTTTAGACTGAAAAAAGTACGTTAAGTCATTAGTCCTCAGTAAGTTAAACTGGCACTTGTGACTAATCCTTCTATTCTTAAGACAAAGTAGTACAAACAGCTCTGTGTCTTGTCATTAACCTGCTAAATAAAATATTAACATATTTTTCTTGTGCCTGCTATGAGATACTACTATTGCACTGAAAGAGAAACATGTTTCCCCCCTTAGCTCAGGGACAGTGGTGTGAATCCGGTGCGATGGTTAAGGCTATAGCATTCTTAGTGATTGCATGAGGTATGTTCATATCCAGGTGCCAGAGTTTTACTGGGCACTTGGTTAAAAACACACCTAGTTGTCTTTTAATTGGAGTAGGTTAAAGGAGTTGCACAAGGTGTACTGACGTATGTTGCATTGAGTTGTTGTGTTTGTGAGGAATTATGAGCAAAAACTTAACTGTAAAAGTGTACGGTCTGAATGCATGGCAAAATGGGTAGCACCTAGATGTTCTCTGTAAGCAAGCTACAGAGGGTCCTCAACAGATGTGAGGAGTTGCAAGGTTTGGAAAACTTTTAAGGGCTGAGCCTTACTGATGCCCAGTTGAACTCCTGAGTATAGGGTTAGTGATAACAGCCCTGAACCTGAAATGATCCTGATGTAGTTAAAAGGAAAATGCTCAAGAGAACAGAAGACAACATAATTTTGAAGTGAAATATTAAGACATGAGCTGCAGTAGTACAAGTGCTTCACAAAACTGTCTCAGCTTAAAAGGACGTTCACAAATTGCGGCATGCAGATTGTAGAACGCTGTAGCATGTGTTCTTAACGGGAGTTAAGGGAAGACTTGCTCAGAGGTAGTTTACCTTTTGGTTATATCAGGATACTGTGTAAAGCCAACTGTGTCTGTGTCTAAAGTTACTGACTACCCTGACCAGCCAGTGTAGGAGCTTTATTTTTGCCGTGATATGCATGTATGGACATAGTGTAGCATGCATGTCAAGGGTTGCTATCAGAACTTTGCAGATAAGCATGCTACCAGTAAACATTTCTGGGACATGTTGGACCTACCTTGCCCACAAATGAATACATATAGTGTTATGGGAAGTGTCAGATTGCATGACTGAAAGTAGCTGTGAATGCCAGATGTATGGAAGCCTGGTTTGTGCCTTTAGATTGCCAGAAATCCCAGCCAACTAATTCCATGTAAAAGAGCATCTCTGAGAAAACTTGGTCCTGCTCTGCTGCCAGTGACAGTGTCTGAACAAGCAAAATTGAGGAACCCTGGCTTTTTAAAATACTTGTCAACAATGAAGATAGATAGACAAATACCTGCTCAGGTAAAACAAGTGGATGTTTCCTGTTGGCTCAGGCATTCCTTTTCCATATCTGGAGAGAGATTTATGCAACAACTTGGCAAATGCATAATACAGAGACAAGTTTTTGGACTAACTTGGTTAATACTGTACACAAGTTGTATAAAAAGCTTAGCGGCAAACGCATCAGGATTATGACTTTTAAAGTGAAATTTGGACAGTTCTTTCTTACCAGGTCCCTTGCTCAGGTAGGTAAACACCTTAGGCTGTGCCAGAGCAAAGCTATTTTAAGTCTTATACAACTGTGGAGTAAGTAGACTAAAAATTTTAGTCTTACTTCTATTTTTGTTAGGGAACTTTAAAGCAGAATTAAAGACTAACTTCCGTATGTGCTCAGCATTTACCATCTCCAGCTGTATTTTAGGAATTCTGAAAAGCAGGCTTAGCTGCTCAGCACTGGTTTTAAGGCAGCTCATCAGCAACCACTGTAAAGCAGTCTGTGCCTTTTGATCTGCATTACCTGTTAGTATTTTGTCAATTGTGTCCACAACAAATTTTGCATCCTCCATATTGAAGCACATTGGGGGCTTGAATTTAAGCACATTTCTCCCTGGCCCATCTGTACTCAGTAGAATATATTCTTCCTTAAGCCTGGAAAGAGGTGAGGACAAGAGTTATGTCTCCTGTTACATCTTTCTCAGAAAAACGTAAGACCGTGCCATTTTGCACTGACTCTTTTTTTCTGTGCCAGTTGGCTATATTTTAACAACTGCTGCAAGATAGATTACTTTGAACTTTTGATGTGTGCTTGCCTAGCACACGGAGGAACTAAAAGATTGTCCCCTGTACCTTGCTATTAGATACTCTGCTTCTGCTGTGGCTGGGGTCCTTTCTGCTTGATCCTTAATTAAGTCCACACCAATGAATAAGCCAGTACCCCTTTAAAAGAAAAGCAAATACTCAAGCTGTAGTTGGAAGAAGGAACTGCAAGTGAACTGAAAAGATGGAGAAAAGGCTTTTGTGAGAACATCCCTTAAGTGCATGAGAAGTAATATTTTTTTGGCTAGTAATGGCAAGGATACTGCTTTGCAGAAATGTAATATAATACAGGCTTTTCTCTGCACAGAATGGTAGAGCAGGACAAGATCTTAAGTACATTTTCCATCCAGCTTGTTTGTTTTCTTCTGTGTACTTGAGGTGGAGTTAAAACAGGAAAGTGAATTCCTTTAGCAGCTAATAAATCAGAAGTATGCCTTCCCAGAGCTGTGTTGAAATCAGTAAGGCGGTACTGCCTTACAGGTGGCAAAGCACATCAGGCTTTTGATCAGCTCAAGCCAGTGACTTAATCTACAGCAGGCTGATTTTTGCTGAAAACAGATTAATTTCTTTAAAAAACAATACTGTCTTATGCAAAGTTACATGAGTTGGATTTTGGGTTGTTTATTGCTATCGTCGTATGAACCAAATCAAAACGAAGCTGAAAATGTAAGTAAGTTACTGATACCTGATATCACCAATGAGGGGATGCTTGATTTTCTGTTGATTGAGCAAGTTCATCAAGAAGTTGCCTACTTCTGTGGCATGAGCTTGAAGATGTTCTTTCTCAATCACATCTAACACAGCTAGTCCAATGGCACATGAAACTGGGTTTCCTCCAAACTGAGCAAGAAAACACATGCAGACAGGGAAAGGAAAGATAACAGTCTTGTCACTGAAAGCATAGCCTCAGTGATGCATGAGCATACTGGCGTTTATATCAGACGGAGCCAAGACACAGGAAGATGTACACTGGAAAGATGTAAGCAGAACATTGCCTTCACTGTAAGGTGAATAAGCACTAATAAAAACGCTGCGTGATTGTCTGTCATGGTCTTAGTACTCAGTAGTTGTAGAGAAGGAAAGTTTGGTTAGCTTTTTACTTACTGTATTAAAATACTCCACTCCTGTGGCTGCAAAAGCTTCTGCAACTTCTTTTGTTGTTGCTACACAGGCAATGGGGTGCCCATTTCCTATTGGCTTCCCCATAGTGACAATATCTGGTATAAAATCTTCTCCCTGAAGCTGGAATGCCCAGAAGTGCTTGCCAGCCCTGCCAAAGCCAACTTGAATTTCATCAGCAATAAATATACCTCCTGCCTTGTGCACATGCCTGCAACAAAACAGGTTTTATTGTACTTTAAGAGGAGACTGAACATCATATTTGGTATTTAAGAACATGCAGAAATCACTGCCTTACAAACCTTTAGGAAGAAAATGTCTGCAGGTCTATATTCTGTACTGATTTTAAAAACAAGTCTTTGCCACAGAAAGTTTACGTTCTAATGTAGAAAAGGCAGAGGTATTTTTGTGCTTATAAAGAGCTATGCCACAGTAGGCAGAGACTTCCCTATCATCTGTATTTAGTAGGTATTTTTAAATTTAAAGAGCTAAGATAATGGATGACAACTTACTCTGCGACCTTCTGAAAATAGCCAGCTGGTGGAATGATCTGACCACCAACACTTGGCAGAGATTCAACGAAGAAGGCAGCAATCTGAAACATATGTAGCATGTAATGTTTGAACACATACAGATAGTCACTATAATTGCGTTAACAATTTCCAAGCTCTTCATCTTTAGATGGTTCTTGCAAAAATCCTTTATTACTTGATCTTTGCTTTTATACAAGACTATCACATAGCTCCCCGATCACATGTGGCAATGACAGCTGCTCTTGCTCATTTCTAAGGCAAGATCAATGATTTAGGAATCCACTTTTTACCTCTCTGCCTCTCTTGTGTGCTTGCTCAATAATACTTCTCACTTCATTAGCATAGGCTGTTACTGAGTCTTCATGGTCTTCTCTGTATATTCCCCTGTATGTGTCTGGAACAGGAGCCTACGCAAAGCAACAGCATCTCTTATTCAGTATATCATAAATAAGACTTAGTAAATTTACAAGTAGTCAGTAGTTGTAGACTAAAGTACATACCACGTGGACCCATTCCTTTTGTCCTTCTAGATTTCTGAATTTATATGGGCTTATGTCAATCAAGGATGTCAGATGTCCATGGTAAGCACTTAAAAAACAATCAGCAGAACTAAGCAGTAATTTCTTCAGTATGAGAATTCTTTGGGATTAGCATGACTGACAACTAAAGAGTAGACTGGCTATGTCAGCTGATGGGGAATATAGTCATTTAGCTGAGAACAGCTCAGAGATGTCTATCGATCAGCTTAGTAGTATTTGGATTTTTTTTGCACGTCTAACTAAATATAAGGCATGCAGGAGGACAGTATTCTACCTCGTCACGAGTTTAAGAGGGCCAGTGAGTAAGTCAAGTGCAGTATTATGAGACTGTAGAACACCTGGAAGGGACTCATCTGGCCTACTTTTGAGTATGGTCCAAGATACTGCCTGAGCATCTCATTCTACTGTTTGACTGCGCTCGTGGTGAAAAAGTTTTTCCTTATGTCTCATCAGAATTTCTCATGCTCCAGCTCTTGTGTCCATGACCTCTTTCCTTATAACCACCCATCTTTCTTTTGAGTCTGGCTCTATTTTTTCTTTGCCCTCCCATTAGATAGTTTTAGATAGCAAAGATCTCCCCTTAGCCTTCTCTTCTCAAGGCTGAACCAACCCATTTCTCCTAACCTCTGAAGCTTACGGCTCCCTAATACGGCAGGCCTCGGCTGGACTCGGCTCAATACATCAATGTCGATCGTGTATTGGAGAGCCCAGCCTGGACGCAGTACTCCAGAGGTGGGCTCACAAATGCTGAACAGAGGGGAAGAATTACTTCCCTCAGCCTTATGGCAACACTCCAATACAGCAGATGTTCAAACGTGCGCTGACAACAGACCAAAATTAGGCCTTGTACCCCACATTAGATAAATATTGCCAATATACTTACTGGTCTAAAACTATTATATCCTCATGTTTTGTATACTGTCGCGCCATTCTTAAGGCAAGATCATTAGCTTCGGATCTACAATTGAAAAGTTTGATCAAAGCGTTGCATTGAGGATGTCTGAGTTTTGAAATTCTGACCTCCCCTGCAATGCTGTGTGCCTTCACAGAGAACGCACAGAGCTAGACGCAAGGTACTGACCGATTCCTTAGCAATATACAGTGCTTTATACACTACTAGGTAAGAGTGTTTAGAAGAAACCACTAAATCCTTTTCTATAAAGCTGGAGTATAGAAAGTACTTTTGAAGCAGTTTCCCCACCCCCTTTTTTTTTGTTTCCCCAAAAAGCTACTGTTTGCCTGGGAAGATAAAATCCTCACAGGCAAAAATATGCATTGCTATACTAAATTTTGATGACAGAAGTAATTCTAAGCTCAGGACATACGTCAGAAAGACCAGAAACTAATATGATCAAGCTTTGAGTTACTGTTTTCGTAGTCCAAATAGAATAAAACCCTTCTTAAAGCGCTAGTTTAGTTTCTTGACAGGGAGCTTGCTAGATGTGAAATTCAGAGCCACAAATCTTCTAAAAAGGACAACAGGTTCTTCGAAAACAAGCACAAAAAACTCAGACCACATTTTTTTCTCAGTGTATAATCATTGCACTAGATCTCACCCGGTTGGCTGTTTTGATAAGTAAGTATGCTTGTCTGTATATAACTAGCAAAAACATAGCATCACTTCTAATATACCTGACTGACTTACCCAGAATTCAAAAAATAGAAGGTGCACAACTTCTCAGGTAGTGTTTTTGAAAGTCTCTCTGCGTAATCGACCAAGTTGTCGTGAAGATAACGAGAATTTGTATTTAACAATTGATTTTGCTCATGGGCTGCTTTTACTACATCAGGGTGACAATGTCCAACTACAAGAGAGCGTAGAGAGATGGGTGTGAGAGTTCTTTCATGTGTATGGTGTTTATCGACAAACAAATACATACTGACTTTGCACCTATATTTCTAATAGTACAGAGCTGTTGTCACTGATTGTATTTTGTCAGTGGGGCATTAAATGATATCGTCAGCAGAAGACAATATGCCTTGAAAGATTTTTATTAAAAACTTTTTCCTGTGTTCAGAAAGTTTTAAATTGGCTCTTATTCTTATGTTCAGTGGTTTGCATTTGAGTACTGGAAACTGATCTGCTAAAATGAATAGTGTCTAATTTGATATTTTGGATTGAGACGCTTGAATAATTTGTTCATAATAGCTAATAATTTTGAATAATTCGGTGTTCTGTGCAGGTAAGCTTTACTTTCAAAGAGTTAACGTGCTTAGCCCTAGTAGGATATTATTGACAGCACTAATCTACAGACTAGCAGTTTCAAATACTGACAGAAAGAAACAGCTATTTAATAAAACACAACTCAGGCACCACTCTGAGCAGTGGTCCTGTGACAGCACCCCCAGCAGTAACGTTTACAAATTGAACTAACTGTCAAGTCATTTGTTAGTTTTACAATTAGATGCTTGATTTGAGCTTTCATGCAAGAAGTCCTGTGAATGTTAGATGACTACATTCCTATGAAGACAGAACAGAAAGCAAGTCTGGAAAGCGTCACATTCCTGTACACAGAAATTCAAATGTGGGCAATAATTTCCCGAAGTAAAAGCTCAAGAAAGATTTCTTCCATTTTTCCAATTAGGCATCCCCTCGCCCCACACAACGCAGCAGTCATAAAAAGTACTGATTATTTCCTGTTATTCTCTGAAAGACAGGGTACCAAATTACCTGACTTTTAACTTACCATGAGCAACGTTGTTAATGCAGTCGAGATATTGTCTTCCCTTCTCGTCATACATATACTGGCCTTTTGCCTTGACGATCTTCACTGGATCATCAGAAAAAAAGAGCTTGCAAGAAGAGCTGTAGAAAATATCAAAATTCAAAGTAAAACTTAGTGAAGTCTAAAAGTGAAGTAGTTCATTCTGCTCGTAATGTTTTCAGTTAATTAAGAGAAGGACGTTTTTTTCTGAGTTAGGTGAAAAGTGCTGTCATCCTACTTCTAGTCCCTAAAGCAGAGCTCGGGGTGGGAAGGAGAACTTTGACTTACTATTGGACCTGCAGCGGAGAAACGCTTTCCAGAATTGAAAATACTTTGCTAAGAACGTCCAGCCACTGAACAGATACAGGACTTGCCTCTAAAGTTTCATCTCATCTTAACTGTGGTTCCTTACTGTTTACACTGTCTACCTTTTGTGTTCTTGAAACTCACTTTGGTGCTTGTCTCTTACCTTATGGTCGTTCTCTTTATATTCTTGGTATTTTAAGGTCCTGTTTCTCCTGATAGAGTGATACAGATGATTCTTATGTCCCCATAGAGCTTCGTTACCTTAGCTTGAAGCCTTGAGTGATTTTTTTTTTTTATTTGCAGGGCTGGGTCTGCTTAAGTGGGTTTGTTTTGTTTCACTTTTTAAATAAATTGCCAAACAAAATTGGAACATGTGTGTGCCTAGAAGTTGCATTTAATTCTGGCTGAAAGTGCAAAAATGAAGTATAATGAAATATCATAGTTTCTACCCAGTCTGTTACATTTAAAGCTTTTCCTGCATCATTTAGTAAAAGAGTGCTTATACAAAATGAAAAGAAAATAATTGGACCATAGATAATAAACCTATTGGCTAATAAACAGGAAAGGGCAAGGATAAACTGAGAAAACAGTTTCACTGTCCCTCCCCTACAGGAATCCTATAGGTCCTGTATGAACTAGCCAGTAAGATGGAAAAACAGCTTGCTTTTTTTTTTTTTTTTTTTTAAAGTTAGCAGGACTGTTCAAGAGATGCTAAGAGAAGGCTGGTACAGAGGCTGTGTCTTTGTTCCCAATAAGTGGGCGAATCAGTTACAAAAAGATTAAACGTGTATCTAGCACAGTTCTAATTCCAGAGTTCACTTTCAACCCAACTCTTACTGTCATAAAACATTTACTGATTAAGACTGAGCACGTACCTAACCTTGATTTTGAAAACAACATACACTATATTAAAACGTTCCTACAGTCAAATAACACCAGGCTTATATTCTGCAGAATATAAGAATTTCTTAGGGCAACAGAAACAAAAGTAGCAATTGGCAATTTCAAAGAGAGTTTTGTCAGTTACTTAAGTCTATCAAGTTGGGCAGACATACGTTAACCCTATCAAGTTTTTGGTGCTTTTGAAAAAAAAAAAAAAAATTCCCGAAAGGCTATACCAGGTCAGACTAAACCTCCGCCTAGCTCAGCATCCTGTCTCTGGCAGCAGCCAACAGCAGATGCCTTAAGAAGAGTAAGCCAACAGGGCAGGCGTACAGCACTATTTTTCCAGTACGGCCTCCAAGCCGACAGCGATTTTGTGGTTTGGGTCGTTCAGATCCAGGTCATGCTCGCAGCTAAATTATCAAGAAGTGGATCTAAGCAGTTTGAAGTATTAGCAGGCGTGCTAGGTAGCACCCAAGTTGTAAGGAGCCTTTTGCTTTAATGTCATAATTCTGCTCCTCCCCATCTCAGAAATACGAAGGGTTGTGTTAATAATTTCCCTGCTATAAATCCAGATTTAGTATAACAACAGCACTAGCCTTTCCCCCTCCACGTCGCTAGTTTAAACCTAAAACAAATCTTAGAGAAGCAAGGGATCACCCCCGCGGCCCGGAGAGCGAGCGCCCTTTCCCAGAAACGGGCCCGGAGTTGCTGAAACTGCTCTCGGCTGCAGGAACCCAGCGGGCCGGGG